AGGGTACCATGGACAACTCCACAACTGGTTCTAGCCAAATCGCCCCCTGTAAACCAGGACATTTTTCTTTTTGCACAAACTTGTGTAAAAACTGCTCTTGGGGGAAAAAAGGATGTTGGCACATGAACAAAAAAAGTACCAATTATACTCATTTCTGTATCTGTCTTTCCTACTCGGTTGTGAACTTTGAGAGCAAAAAACATGACTTCATCTTTGTTTCCCCAGTTGTGCACAGTGAACAATAGCAGAAGCCCAGTATCTCACTGATGCTATCAATTCTGGTGCATGTTCCACACTTGACTATCCAACTGAATCCTCACACGATTACCCTGCAAGATAAACAGGATGCGAGATTACCATTCCCTTCCTCAGAAGATGAACAGCAACAAAAAAATTTCACAAGTGAAGAAACTGGTCCAAAGTCACTGAACTACTGAGTAGAACTCAAAATCTGCTGTCTTTAAGGTGGATGCTCTTTCAGGCAATAAATGACTACACTAATAACTGAAAATTGTTTAAAACTGCATTGAAATGTATGAAGCCACACAAGGTAACTCATAAAACAAATATTTTGTACTTGCTAGTCAAAAATCATTTGAAAACTAAAATATTCCTTAAAAGGAAAAAAATGTATCTTTTCAAAAGTGATTCTACAACCAACCTGCTCTTCCTCATCTTATCTGATCCTAAATTTGAGACTCTGTCTTTCCAAACTTTTAATCCACTGTGACTGTGTGTGTTCAAAATTAGGACCACAAAGCACCACCCTCTGCCCTCTCTCCAAAAATACCAATCATCTACTATGTCAGTCAACAATGGTTTTCAGTTTTATTTCTACTTTTCCTTTTCAATTGTAAGAAAAACCAGTTTAATACACAAAAGCAAAAATATCTTAAGAATAAGAAAACAACTTTTCTCCTTCTATTCCTGAAAAGTACAACAGAAACCCATCAGACATCTCTGAAAATTGTTTAAAACGAAAGGGATAATTATTATTCACAAGGAAAAGAAAACATACACCAGAGCTAGGTAATAACCTGACAGGAATAATTTGGGTAATTTCCCTCTAGTAGAAATCCAGTAAATTTCATTTAATTATCTTGTCAACTCACTGCATTTTCCTGAACCTAACACTTTTACATATTCTGGTTCACCTACCTACATCCCCCACCACCTTCTCCTCATCTTCAGTTCCCACTCAAGTCCCATTCTTGTAGAGGCTTTGTCCAACTCACTCAATCCCACTATCTCACCTGTTAATTTCTCTTACCACCTATCATTCCTTGGTTCCTAAACATTCACCATATATTCTTTTCTGTGTTTGTTTAATGTCTTTCTACCAAGAGTGTAAACACTTTGAGGTCCACTGGTGGTTTTGATTTTTTTTGTTTTTTCAAAGAACAGTTTTATTCAGGTATTCACAACAAAATTCACTTGTTTCAAATATACAATTCAATGATGTCTAGTAAATTTACAAAGTTATACAATCATCACCAAGTGATTGCTTGAGTTTTGCTCCTCAATTTATCTCTGGCATTTAGAGAGAGATAAATATAACTTTAAAAAAAATAAGAGATTGTCTCTAGAATGAATAAATCAATCTGATAAGGAGTTTTTCTTGTAATCCCATTACTAATATTTAATGTACCGTATGATTGCATTGGTGTGTTAAAACTGCCTTTATTACAGTCCATTACAAATATCCTTCACATCTTCATTTCCAATCAAAGCAGGCTCTTTTGTAAGGCCCCAGAATGAACCCACTCACATACAAGCCTACTGCCTCACTTCAGGAACCCTGACTCAGGTCAAGTTTGTGTGTACATACTACATTTTTTCTCCTTCAGGTAACCCCCTCCTCTGCTTCGAGCTATTTGGAGCCATGTTAATAAAACACCTTATAAACAAAAGAAAGTTCAGGAGCAGTAAACTTACTCATTGGTGAGGATAAGGTCTTCAAATAATGGATGAACCTTTGTAATAGTGAAGTGATGGAAATAAGCTCTTTGCACTGACATACCTCTAGTTGAGATCTACATATAGTGTAACCTACTAAATAACTGAAACCTTTTTTAGATATAAAATCAGTCCCTCTGCTGGTTATCCATCTGTGAAGCAGAAATTTTCTATTTTTAAAATTTCAGTATTTCATTTATTTTCAAAATTAAGGTTTTCGGATAAAAGATTAAACATTTATAAAATATAACTTTATAAATTATTTTTAAATAGTTTTCTAAAAATGTAACTCAACAACAAACAAAACCAATTCAAAAATGAGCAAAGAGTTTGAGTACTTATTTCTCCAAATAAAATATGCAAATGAAAAGATGCTCAACATCACTGTCTTAGGGCAGTGAAAATCAAAACCTCAATGAGATGCCAGTTAATCCAGTTAAACCAGGACAGCTATTACCAAACAACTAAACCAACAACAGTAAGGGAGAGTAACAACTGCTGGAGAGGATGTGGGGAAACCAGAATCCCTGGGCATTGCTAATGGGCATGCAGCAGCCCTGAAAAACAGGATGTTCCCCCAAAAGTTAACATATAATTACCATAAGACCAGTAATTCCACTCCTAGGTACATACACAAAGAAATCAAAAACAGGAATTCAAACAGATACTTGACCACCAATGTTTACAGCAGCATTCACAAAAGCCAAAAGGTGTGTTAAAAAAGAGACAACAGATCCAAAATGGAGTCACTCATGCTAAGCCCACATCACCAAACCAAGACTTAATTATCCAACCTAACTACAGTTTCAGCGTCCCCCAGGAACGGTACCTTAACCAGTCAGTCTGGAATAACGTGGTCAACACTAGTGAGGTAATCTGAAGGAGAAACATCCTCCACCCCCGCCAGGCTCACCACCCTCTGACGAAAGACCACCCCCCTCTACTGGCTGGCCCCAAAGAAAGGTGACCTTGACTAAAACAGCCTACTTTTTAATGGTAACTTCCTTGTCCTGTCTCATCCTGCTTATAAACGTCTTCCATTTGTACAGCTCCTCAGAGCTCTTTTCTGTTTGTTAGATGGGATGCTGCCTGATTCACGCATGGTTGAACAAAGCCAGTAAGATATTTAAAATTTACTCAGTTGAGTTTTATAACAGTTGTAAACAATCCAACTGTCCATCAACAGGTGTGTACATACGTGCATGATGTATATACACACAATGGAGTATATTATTCAGTCTTAAAAAGTTTTGATGCATGCTACAACATAGATGAAAACATGCGACATAAGCCAGACACTGAAGGACAAATGTTATATGATTCCACCTACTTAAGGTACCTAGAGTAGGCAAATTCATACAGACAGAAGGTGGAACTGAGGTTAAGGGGCTGGGAAGGAACAGGGAATGGGGTATGTCTACAGAGCTTTTGTTTGAGATGATGAAAAAGTTCTGGAAATGGATGACGGTAATGCTTGCACAATATTGTCAATGTACTTAATGTCACTGAATTGTACACTTAAGAGATTAAAATGGTAAATTTTGTAATATTTAAAACTTTTTTTTAATGTATATCAACAGCAATTTATACTATCATATTCCCCAGTGTTAGTGTACAATGAAGAGGGAGCCATGCACAGACTGAGGTTATTCATAAATGACAATAAATGTAGTTGTCATTTTACTGGTGGGGAAAAACTGACAAGTCACAATGTATTCATTTCAACTATTTTCTCTGTCCTAAAACAATGGCAGTCTAATAAAAACCACACTATAACATTTTCTTCATCCAAGGAAGAATTTTATGGCATTGTGATAGGCCTTTCTACAATGATACGCCTGTTTACAATTTCCCCAGGACTTAAGCTGTGTCACAGATCCTTAATTGGTAAAACAATTAAGTTGGAGAAAATACTGCCCCAATTTTAAAAGCAGCAGAGATCAATAAAGTACGGGACTCCCCATGGATATAATAATGACCAGTTCATTCAGTGCCAATCAACAATTACTAAATGCGCAGTACCTGTGAAAAACCCAGGCCAACAAGTATTGCAAGGTTACAAAAAGAAAAGTTGAAGATACAATCTCATTTTAAACCAGAAAGTCAGCAATTCAGAACTATCCTTTAATGTCTGCCTTTAGAAGTGCACCCGTTATTTAATGCCTACAGTCTGCATCACGGTGGTTCCAGTTGCCATTTTTATATGATCAGCCTTGTTGAACCTACGGTAAATTTGAGTTTTTTTCACTGATTAGATGGTATAATGCGGAACCGAATGAAATACTGCAAATGCCTCTCTGCAAGTTAGTTTTTTTAATTGCTTACAAAAGGGTAACCAATTTCCCAGTGACCAAGTGCGCCGACCAATTTAATTCCCTATAACCTTCCTCGGAAACTAGTCGCCTCATCTGAAACTTAATGCTATATACTCCCTCTAGCCTAGCCTATATGCAGAGCGCATTCTAGACAAGTCCCCAGTGTACCAACGGCCCGATTTTGGCTATATTCTCTGGGCAATTTAAGGAAGTCGGTAACCACCCATCTCACGTGATCTTAAAAAGGGGCGCAGTTGAACCCGGAAAAACACTTTTTTTTTTTTTTTGCATCAACTTCATTGCCCAGCATGAAGGAAGTGGGCAGGGAGGTGGCGCAGGTCGGGAGTGCAGGGGAGGCTAGCAAACTAGCGTGGGTTGCTGGGCCTTCTAGTTTGGGGGAGCTAGGAGGTGAGAAGGCACACTCGCTCACGCGCACTGCAGCGGCTGAAAAATCCAAGACTGCCACACCTCCCGGGATCCCCCCAACCCCCACCCCACCCACCCTCGGCAGCCCGGAGCACGGCTTCATCTTCTCTAGCTGGAGCAGGAAGGGGGCCCGATCTACGGAAGCCACACCTGCAGGGCACTGCCCCCGATCCCCCACGCCCCAAAGCACAAGGCCCTTGAGTACCGCGCGGGTGGGAACACTGGGGGGCGTCAAAGGGGGGGAGGGCTGCGGCGATGGGCGACCCGCGCATGCGCAGGTACGGGTACCGCCCGTTCGCCTACCGTTGGAACCACGACGCCCAGTTCCCTGGCCGCGGCCGCTTCTCCAGGACCCGCGGCAACGACAAGAGGGCGAGAACTGAGGCCTCGTGTGACTCCGCGACCGGCGAGCCTTTTCTTTCGGCAGCCACTGGAGGAAGGCTGAGGCGACGGCCGTGGCGCGGGGCCAGCCCGGTTAGCGACCCCCGGGTGCCCCCGGCGGTGGCGGCGACGGAGACACGGAGGGGGCGGGAGCGGCTACTGAGGCAGCGGCTGAGGCACAGACCCTCCCTAAAGGCGAGCGAGAGGAGAGTGGAAGGCGGAGGGCGGGCGGGGGCCGGGCCGGACGTGACGTGCGTGGGAGGGGGCGGGGTGGGTCCGCGTGTGGGGGCGGGGCGAGCGGGCCGCCCGGGCCGCCCGGGCGAGGGCCCCGCAACCTCTGGCTATTGCCTTGGAGTCTGTGGGCTTGGAAACGCGGCTCTTCTCCCACCCCAAATTTGGGCCCCTGAGTTAGGATGCGACAAGCCGGGAGCGGGCCTGAGTCTGCAGGATTGGAAAGAGAGGAAACTGGGGAGGGGACGTAGGGGGAATAAAGGGCAAATGCGGAAGACCAAGGTTGCTCCTCGTCTCTGCGGAGGGAGGGGGCCGTGCCCCGCTGCAGAAGGCCAGAAAAACCTGGGTGCCCTTATCCAGGTGAGGGGCATGGCGACCTTAACAGAAAACCCCCGGTTACAGCGAAGCAGTGATTCACATCCACCATCCAATGGGGATCTGATCGGAGACCCTGCCTGGCTCCCCAATTCCTCTTCACCTAAGGACGTGACCTAAGACTCCAGAGGAAACATAGATGGCCTCTGGTGCCCAAAGCGTCAGGGAATATAAAAATAGATAGGCTGCATGTTCACTGGGAGCGTCCTACACTAAACCAGACTTTCAGAGGCAGGCCGACTGAGGAGCCTGACACTGTACTTGCACAGCCACGCAGACCGACCCTGCAGCTCCCACGAGCTCGCAGAGGTAGGAATACTCAGCCCCTCTCTTCTCTGCTTTAGCTTCCTAAGGACTTTGAGATCCTGCATTGAGTAAACCGCAGCGCTCTGCGTTTGGACTCCTTGACGACGGGTAGAGCCAGACCTACACAAAGAACTCTTTTGAGTATCTGTAAAAATACAAACCACCACAATTCAGTTGTCCCCTACCTGCCTGAGCTGGAAGTCAGTAACCCGGAAAATGTAAAACTTTCATAGAACTTGTGTCAAGATTTTTCAAAAAAAGAAAACAAAAAGTCACCCTAAGAGATGTGTTACAGAGGCCAGGGTGGCTCCCAAATTTCATCAGAGAGATGAAAATAAATTGTCTATAATTTAAGTGTCATATGCCCAGTTGATGCTGTCATAAAAGAAGGGTGGGGTCCATAAAGATTCTAGAAGCAGCCTAATCTGACTAAGAATGTACTGTGGGCTCCCACTCTGTCCAGAAGAGAGGCTACTGATTCTGATGGCCAGGACCAATATCCATTATTGGGAGTTTAAAACTTTAATTCAGATTAACTCTCTGAACAAATACTTACTGAACGCTTAATACATTTTTGTCTCAGGATACATCAGCAAACAAGATTCCTGGCTTTATTGAGTTTATATCCTGGCAAACTAAAATTTTGGATATCCTTAAGAATATACACAGGCCCATGCTCTGATTTGATTCTCATCCAGTAGTCTTCCCATCACTCCAGGGGTCTCAAATAAATAAGCACACCCACTAAGTAGCAGTTGTCCAAAGCACATGACCAGTACTAGCTGTACTACCTATACAGTCTTCCTCAATAAATTCAGCTTCTGTGCATTGTGTTGAACTATAAAGTTGTTTTATCCAAATTAATTTCTCAGAACCTCATTAAGCCTGAGTGAAGTGAAATATGTTTCTGAATTTGCCAAACGGAGGACCAGCATGACCCCTGGTTTCATAGCAGCCCAGTCAAGATGCAGCCTATGCATTAGCCTTGCCTCTCTCCTTAAACATCCTAAATGGAAGTTTTACCTATGATTCCATGCTTGAAGAACAGGAACAACACGACTGCCTCTAAAGCTTAATCACAAGCAAGTAAAACACTTGAGAGTAATCGTTAAAAGTAAAAACACTCCTAAACCTGCCCCACCTATGCAACACAGGCTGTTTACATAAGTGAGTGTAATAGGTACATTATTCTGAGTATGAAACCCATGCCTGAAAGCACCCAAAGGACAGGGACTCTTGCACTTACATGCCCTACTCCCAAAGAATGGGCTCTCAAAAAACAAATGAATTGATTTCATGACCATTTTCCTCTCTCAAACCCAAGACCTCCTTGAAAGATATCTTTTCCAGATCCTACTTTATAATATGTAATCGATATGTTCAACACGTAGGATGCAGGGGTATAATTCTGAAAAACATCCCTTTAAACCTGTGCAGTGGGAGATCTGTCGCACATCTGATTCAGGCAAGTCCTGTGAGTTCGATGGTCCCCTTAGCAATAGGAAGTCCTATAATCATTGAGTCACAAAGAGTGAAACTTCTCCATCTTCAGCGAGGGACAGCTGGCTCAGAGCTTGCCCTGGAGAGGCATCATGCCTGGTCTTTCTTGTTGTCTCTCAGCTTACCAACCAGAGGCAGAGGATGGGAGAGAGAAGAAAAGAAAGAGCAGGAAAGTGCTTAACTTTCGCTTCCATGTGATGGTTTAACCCTCTGGACCTGATAGATGTTTAAAGCTGCCTTTTTTTCTGCTGGATACTTTCTTACTAGGTCAGCCCACCACCATCCCCATTCTCACACAGAGCTCCCTTCATCTGAGCAAAAGCACTCTATTTTGGCAGTCCTTTACTCCCTCTTTTAGCCCCTAGAAATCTGAAGATCTGCTTCCAACTTATTGTATTTTGAAAGCTGTTTTCGTCGGTAAGGTCTTTAGGATCTGTCAGGTAGGATCTAAGACAGCCTTTACACTGGCCCACTTACAAGCAAGCGGCCCTGGGGCCACCCAACATTGTGGTGCAAGGTTACACGCTCCATATCCTCGGGAGTGTCCGTTACGTCATCCTCTGTGTAGATTTGTATATTGGTTTTGACAGTTTTCCAGCAGGTGGCAGTAAAGTGTTTTATCCAAATTAAATTAGTGTGACTATTTTCCAGTCTATGGAGCTGAAGTATCTGGAAGGAGAGCTTTTTTCTGATGGTGCTGTTTAGGCTAGTGACAGCTCTGTGTGGTCCACACAAAGCTCTCACGCACTTCTCACCCTAATAGCCAGACAGACCAATCTCATGAGCTCTAGCAGCCCTCTGTTGTGCTGCCCGCCCTTCTCTTGTCCTCTGTATTTTCCAGGCCGGAGGCAGACACAAGTCCCCTGTGCCTCTCTAACGACAAGAGACACATCTCAAGTACTCCTGAGAAGTTCCACTGAAGGTCTCTCTCACTCAGCTTGAGGTAAAATGCAGGCAGGCATCTGTGTAAGAATCACAGTAGAGCAGCCAATGGTCTCCACAGCAATCCTCAGTAATTCTCACCTGACCTTTTATGACATCGTATGTGCAGTTATGTACCTGATTTTGTCTAAATCCTCTCACTCACAGGGGGAGTCCATGTCAGAGCTCACTTTACTGAATTTTTTTCGAGGGGGGCAGTGGTTGGGTTTTTTTTTTTTTTATAACATCTTGGTGCTTTGGTTAAAACAGTAGTTCTCAGCCAGGAATAATTTTTATGGTCTTGTCTGGAGACACTTTTTGTCGTCAAAACTGAGAAGGTGCTATTGGCATCAAACGGGTAGAGGTCAAGGAAGCTGCTAAACATCGTAGAATGCACAGGATGCCCCCTCCATAGCAAAGGATTATCTGGTTGAAAATGTAACTAACATCTTGGAACAAAGAGAACTCTTACATTTGGCAGTCACTGTAGAGAATACCTCAAAATTATAACACTGTTTTTTCCTTTTTCCTACAAATGGTCTACCTTTCAATGTAGATGTCATTTTTTAATGTAACTAATATCGAAAACAGCATCTCAGAGAGCTATTTGACCAGGATCAGAAGTGACTGGTGTGTCTCTAAACTTCCGCTGGAGGTGAGGCCTGACAGGAAAATTATCACTTGAGGTGATTTTTTTTTTCTTTGTTATTTCTTTGCAAGATAACTTTATAGCCCAGAGACACAAACATTTTACCCAGCTTATCTGAGCAAAGACTTTATGCCTCTCAGAAGTAAAGTCATGCATCAGTTCACTATAGAAGGAATATATATTTGCTGCAACCGCAGACCATGCCCTAGATTCTAGAGAGGACTTAAGCATGCCCGGCCCCCCGCCAAGGGCCACCAATGTCACTGGACTTCTCCCCTCACCCCACCCCTACCGCAAACTAGTTTGAACTCAGCTTTTCCGGATGCAGCAGGATGCTGAGCCCTTCTCTTCTGCCATCAGTAAGGAAAACCTCACTATTCAGCTCTCCTCACTCCTACTGATCTCATCTCTGACCAAGGCTATTTTGAGTACTAGCTTATAGATTCACTTTTTTTCAGTCAAAGCTGCTATTTTTTTAATACAATATTCATAAGAAACAGGAGCCACCAAGAACCAAAAAGACATATCCCATCCCTACCAATTTTATCACTTAAAAAGTAAAGTAGATGCAGCAAACATTTAATAATTATGAATGATGTACTTGGAATAAACACACTGAACTTGTAATAAGAAAGCCTGCATTCAAGTTCTAGCCATGTGACTCTGGTCAAGGTACTTAACCTAAATGTACCTTAGAATCCCCATTGGCAAAATAGGAAAAATAATACTGAAATGTATTGGTAAGCAAAGAAGTGTTTTATAAGCCATATACTACAGTTTTTTTCACTCTTTTCTCCTATACTGCTTTCAGAGGCCTAAAGAAGTCTCTGGAAATGTTTTGCCACCGTATCTGGGTTTTTATGGCTCTGAATGAGGCCCCATGCGGAAATCTTTCTTGGCAGAAGTTGCTAAATGTTTATACATTTGTTTTGAAATGAAAATCAATAGCCCTAAACTCTTGGTACTGTTTTTAAGATCTTCTAAACCTTGTGAGTTACAATAAATATGAGGACACCTCCTCCCTAGTTAGAAGCAAATTTACACTGCACACATATAGAATAAGGCATAAGTGTAGATAATGATGGGAAAATATATGCAGTTTTGTGTACAGTAAAAACTATTGCACAAGGAGATGAAGTTGTAACTACCCTGTCTCCCACACAGCAGTAAAATGCTATCAAATTCAACCAAACTTGGCTAAATAATTTTCTCTTTCTTGAAGT